GTTATAAACCAAACAACTAAGTTCAGTAAAATTTAGCACTTCATTGAATTCGTTTATCATAAAATCGTAAATGCAGGTGTGTTTCTGATTGCTTTATCTGTTGTTAAGGATAACTAAGAATTTTTTAAGAGCGTATAAATGATTCGAAAAAATCATTATGACCAGTGTTAGGCTACAATTTGCATTAGTGTCGATAACAACATTAACTTGAGCAGAATTTTTTTAAGGAAAGTAGGCGTAATTTATACATGTTGAGAACTCAAATAAATTCTTATACAACTTACCGGACACAAAATCACCGTCGAACATTGCTTTTCTTCCAACATAATAACAATACGTTACACGTTGTGCCAGACTAAAATGATCGTTCATACTTAAATTATCGATTGCGCGGATCATAGATTTGCATAAATTCAGTTTGTTAATCTAAATAATAATTTGTAGGGAAATAGTGTTCTCTCGTTTTATTTGTCAAATATTATGCATACCTGGAAGTAAATTTTAAACAGTTGGTTGGCTAAACCCATCATACCCAGTTTTTTCGAATCTTCAACTTGTGCACGACTAAAATAAGAATAAGAATTCAACGAAATAGTCAGGTATATAGCGGCAACATGGTGTTACAAAAAGTAGGAAAAAAGAAACTAAACTTAATTTTGATATTAAGTAGTTGGAGGCGATAAGCAAGAAACACTAGACTTAGCGTTCGTGCCAGTTGACGTGGGTCAAACTCCCAAAACAGGGATCAGTCCTTAGAGCAAACAACGGATAAAAGTGGATAAATCCAGAGCACCCTACAAACTAACTCCGGCTGGAGTCCCTCCGGGGGCTACTGCCGGTCCCAAGCCCGGATAAAGGAGGGTTGGGCATGGGGTTAGCGTCCCCATCCCGTAGAAAACTAACTCGCTAAAAAAACGCTAACCAGAAAAAATTATTCAAACCTTTTAAACTCTGCCCTGGGAGTCAGAAGGTCTTCATTTAGAAGAATTATGACGCCTCATGATGAAAGCCGAATTCCTTCGGAAGTTACGAGGCCGATGCCCCTTCTGACAACCAGAGCAACCATTTATTTAGGTACATGGAATGTTCGTACAATGTGGGACACCGGAAGAGCCTTCCAAATTGCTGCAGAAATGAGAAGATACAACCTAGAGGTACTTGGGATCAGTGAAACACATTGGACACAAGTTGGACAACAACGACTAACTACAGGAGAGCTCCTGTTATACTCCGGCCATGAAGAAGAAAATGCACCACATACACAAGGAGTTGCATTGATGCTGTCCAAACAAGCGCAAAATGCACTTATAGGATGGGAATCTCATGGACCAAGGATCATCAAAGCCTCGTTCAAAACAAAGAAAGAGGGCATTTCAATGAACATCATCCAATGCTATGCGCCTACCAACGACTACAATGAAGACGCTAAAGATCAATTCTACAATAGGCTGCAGTCAATCGTCGAGAAGTGCCCAACAAAGGACCTGACCATTCTGATGGGAGATTTCAACGCCAAGGTTGGAACGGACAACACTGGATATGAAGACATCATGGGACGACACGGACTGGGAGAAAGAAACGAAAATGGTGAGAGATTTGCAAATCTATGTGCCTTCAATAAGCTGGTCATAGGCGGCACCATATTCCCACATAAACGCATACACAAAACCACATGGACTTCACCGGATCACTCTACACAAAACCAAATCGACCATATTTGCATCAACAAAACGTTCAGGAGGACTATAGAGGACGTGAGAACCAAGAGAGGAGCTGATATAGCATCAGATCATCACTTGCTGGTCGCCAAGATGAAATTGAAACTCAAGAAGCACTGGACAACGGGGCGGACAATATCACAAAAGTTCAATACGGCCTTTCTCCAGGATACTAACAAACTCAACAAATTCAAGATAGTCCTCAGCAACAAGTTCCAGGCCTTTCATGATCTACTCAATGGAGAAGGAACTACTGTGGAGAGCAACTGGAAGGGGATCAAAGAGGCAATCACTTCAACATGTCATGAGGTCCTGGGTCACAAGAAGCACCACCACAAGGAATGGATCACTGTTGATACACTGGATAAGATTCAAGAAAGAAGGAACAAGAAGGCAGCAATCAATACCAGCCGAACAAGAGCAGAAAAAGCCAAGGCACAAGCTGAATACACGGAAATAAACAAACAAGTGAAGAGGAGCATCAGAACCGACAAACGTAAATATGTGGAAGATTTAGCAACGACGGCGGAAAAGGCTGCAAGAGAAGGAAACATGAGACAATTGTATGACACGACAAAGAAACTCTCTGGAAATCGCCGCAAACCAGAACGACCAGTGAAAAGCAAGGAAGGCGAGGTAATCACCAACATTGAAGAGCAACAAAACAGGTGGGTAGAACACTTCAAAGAACTCTTGAATCGACCAGCTCCACTGAACCCACCCAACATCGAAGCAGCACCCACGGACCTCCCAATCAATGTTGGCCCACCAACAATTGAAGAAATCAGCATGGCCATCAGACAAATCAAGAGTGGCAAAGCAGCAGGACCGGACAACATCCCAGCAGAGGCACTAAAAGCAGACGTAGCGGCAACTGCAAGGATACTCCACATTCTCTTCAATAAGATTTGGGATGAGGAACAAGTACCAACAGACTGGAAAGAAGGACTTCTGATCAAAATACCGAAGAAAGGCGATCTCAGCAAGTGTGATAACTACAGGGGCATCACTCTTCTCTCAATACCGGGAAAAGTCTTCAACAGGGTATTGTTAAACAGGATGAAGGACTGCGTAGACGCCCAACTTCGTGACCAACAGGCAGGATTCCGTAAGGATAGATCGTGTACAGACCAAATCGCAACTCTACGGATCATTGTGGAACAATCAATTGAATGGAATTCATCACTCTACATCAACTTCATTGACTACGAAAAGGCATTTGATAGCGTGGACAGAACAACACTATGGAAACTTCTTCGACACTACGGCGTGCCTCAGAAGATAGTCAATATCATACAGAACTCATATGATGGATTACACTGCAAAATCGTGCATGGAGGACAGTTGACAAAGTCGTTCGAAGTGAAGACCGGTGTTAGGCAAGGTTGCTTACTCTCACCCTTTCTCTTTCTCCTGGTGATCGACTGGATCATGAAGACGTCAACGTCTGAAGGGAAGCACGGGATACAATGGACATCTAAGATGCAGTTGGATGATCTAGACTTCGCAGACGATCTGGCCCTTCTATCCCAAACGCAACAACAGATGCAGGAGAAGACGAACAGTGTGGCAGCAGCCTCAGCAGCAGTAGGTCTCAATATACACAAAGGGAAAAGCAGGATTCTCCGATACAACACAGAATGCACCAATCCAATCACAATTGACGGAGAAGATTTGGAAGATGTAAAAACCTTTACATATTTGGGCAGCATCATTGATGAACAGGGTGGATCTGATGCAGATGTGAAGGCGCGGATCGGCAAAGCAAGAGCAGCATATTTACAACTGAGGAACATCTGGAACTCAAAGCAACTGTCAACCAACACCAAGGTCAGGATTTTCAATACAAATGTCAAGACAGTTCTACTGTATGGGGCAGAAACCTGGAGAACTACGAAAGCCATCATCCAGAAAATACAGGTGTTTATTAACAGTTGTCTACGCAAAATACTTCAGATCCATTGGCCGGACACTATTAGCAACAACGTACTGTGGGAGAGAACAAACCAGATCCCAGCGGAGGAAGAAATCAGGAAGAAGCGCTGGAAGTGGATAGGACACACATTGAGGAAAGCACCCAACTGCGTCACAAGACAAGCCCTCACATGGAATCCTGAAGGTCAAAGGAAAAGAGGAAGACCAAAGAACACATTACGCCGAGAAATGGAGATAGACATGAGAAAAATGAACAAGAATTGGATGGAACTAGAAAAGAAGGCCCAGGACAGAGTGGGTTGGAGAATGCTGGTCAGCGGCCTATGCTCCATTGGGAGTAACAGGCGTAAGTAAGTAAGTAACCCTACAAACTGCCTATAGCCACTTAGTATCTAGACAGTGCACAAGATATCGAATCACTTAAATTAGTGGATACAAAGCAGCAGAAACAGTATACAACCAGAACTAGGAACTAGACGACATAGTATCAGTTGCTAACCAATACTCAATAATTGCTACTGAAAAATATAATATTTACAATTCACTGAAGTACGCAGCTAAATGTACCGGGTTCCGGATCAAGAAACTATGTGGATTATGATGCAAATTTATTATGTATACAAGATAACTAAGTAGTTTCGGAAAAGAATTACATAGTTTCTTCATAAACATATTACAGATTCATACAATCTTAAATTCAGACCCCACAACGATAGTGTAAAATCGACGGGTATTTTGCGGAACTTTTGAGAATCAAGCACTAACGCTGCAAGTTTTGCGACATCATATTCAATATTTAACGCTCAATTCAAAAAATTTAAAACACGGATTTTAAAAAGTTTTTGATCTAGGTCCAAATCCCCTGGAATATTGTATTTCTCAACAGAGACATGGCACGATTATCAACTAACGTCGCCCATCTATATCCATCTTCTGTTCAACCTGGGGTTTTCAATTGGTACTATATTCTATCTTTTAGTTGTTTATTTCCTATCCAATAGTCTTACTAAATTTAACATTTGTTTTATAAATTTAGATTTGAATCTTTTTAGCATTATTGATATGAAATAAAACCAATAATCGAGGAGAGGACTTGACAATTTCTCCTCATACTATGAAAACCCACTCAAATTAAATTATAGTTCATATTGGTAAAATACTTACCTATCGCTTGCACATATTTGAAATAACCTTAAAATAAGTTGAGCAGCATTTTCCATCCTTCTCCCTTGATTTCGAAAACTATCCGACTGTGGTGTGAATCTTGAGTCCAAACCGTGAGCGAACCTTCTTAAATCAATAGCAGCTACATGTACAACAGGTAAAATCCAGTTGTCATCTTTTAATTCAGAGAGTGCTTTGGCAACAGTCGTTTATTCAGAGATTCGCAAAATGTTATCAATATCAAAAGTTAAGGCGAAAGCAATCCGTTAAAAGAACTGAATAAATAAACTATTTCTAAAAATTATTAAAAATCGATTGTTTGAAACTATTTAATCCACTTTTTAATTTATTACTGCGTAAGAAAATGGCATGCTTTTTCTAAATTAGACCAAACTCCTCTTTGGAGAGGAATAATTAACATAATTTCCCAATCGTATTTCACACAGTAAAAATGAAACAATCATGTTGCTGTATTTTCCTTTGTCCATGATTGTTTATCACACTGACTTGTTTAAATAGGTAAATATTGGTTCAGATAAACACCGGAATAAATATGGATCATATAACAAGAAAATGAGATTCTAAAAAGACAGAGGAAGGAGGGTGAGTATTACTTTTAAAAAATGGATAAAAATAAGTCCACGAGAGTGGTATATAGTGCGAAAACCAGTTTCGTTAATAAAAATGGAACCAGAAAAAGCCCTTTTAATTGCGGAAGTTTCTTTCATTTTGGAAAAACAGTAAAAAATTACAGCATGATCGACACTGACTTCTATTCTGAGCCATGTTTGATAACGTCTCAGGCCACTGAATTGCACTTTCTCTCGGACCCAAACAGATCCGCTTCAAATCCTTCTTACGTAATTGGAAACAAGAAATAATCTGGACGAAATACACCAGACCGAGTGTAGAAGTAGAAACACAAGAGTTTAGATAATAATTGCACATATTCACTGTTGGAAGATTAATCACTTACTAATAAAAAGAATAAATAAGCTTGCTCATATCATTCGCCAAACATGTGAAGCTATTCTGTTAGGAATCACTTCTAAGACATTCAAATATAAATAAAATAGACTATGGAATAAATACACGAGGTGGTGATAAAACTACTCTACCTAAACCTCATCGAGTAGATTTTATGGCAAGCAGAAGATTGACTGGTTAAAGGCCAAATACTCAAATCAATGAGCCCAGCTTTCACATTTCTCAGTGAATTATAACACAACCCAAAGATTGGTGCGCATTGAGTGTAAACATCTGTTATGTATACGATAGAATTAAGTAACAAAAAAGTTGAAACTTGCTAAACACACGTAGTTTAGTGAAATAAATTATCAGCTACGCATTTATCTCATTATTTCCTAGAAATTCAAGAGTATAATAAATAGGATTTGAGGCTGTGATCTACTGGTTTAAGTTTAATTATCAAGATTGTTAAGCTACAGGTTGATAAATAATTTTTAAAGGATATTTTACTAATACTATTTGACAAGCATAGGCTTCTTCGAAATCACGGTTACGCATTGCCCATATACATCTGAAAATTATTGTTTTACAAGTTATGAGGTTAGTTATTTTATTTTACCTCACATGAGCAGAAACTATCTCATCCCAAGGTGATACAAGGTACGACATAGCAATATTTTCTGGGTCTGGCACTGCTAGACGAGAATTATATACATGAGGATCACTACACATAAGGTAGTGCTAGTTTACATGTGCATAAAATAATAAATTCCCGTTTTAAAAACTTACACTCAATCCTCTACCGTTTCGATTATTGATACAATTAGTAACCTGGAACAGTTTTTAGTTAATTCACTGCCGAATAACTTACATCTTGCAGATACATTTGAAGGGTAACAGGAGCCATTATTAGAGGGATAGTTAATAGTTTAAAAAATGAATCTAAAAGGAATTAAAAAACTGATAGTGACTGATGCACTAAAAATTCACACATTATAAAATAAACTGATTAAAATACAATTCGAAATAATTTAGAAAATATTTAACAATAGTAGAGTTTGTGTAATAATAATTTATTGTAATAACGAGAAGTGCAATAAAACACTCATGCAGAAACAGGCATTACTATTCTCTGAAGAAGTGACTTACACTTAGTCACGAAACGTCAGAAAATCTAATTTTCTACTCATTGAGATATTACAAATATATTATTTATTTATTACTATTAAGCATTGTGAAATACACAATACAACGACCGGTGACAAAATAGAAACTGAGGATCCAGTGTAATATCAACATATATGTTGCAGAGATTGATTTCGATCAATTTTTTATGACTTATCTTTCATTCATGATAAACCAAAAATCGAACATACTGATGTTTAGTGAAGACATACATGCTTTTTACTATAGAATAGCGTTTGCAAATCCTATGAACTTGGTTAGTCCACGACTTCGACATTTTTCCAGAATTATCAGGATACCACTACCTAAGAAGTGATAGACATAGATGCAGGAAAGGAGGTGGCGTCCTTTCATACGTAGCCAATAATATAAATATCCGCCCCTTTGCCTGCGAACCTCATGACGGTGAAACTTGTGAAGTCATTATCTATGAGCTCACTATCAGATGATGTACATTCATACTCGGTGTCATCTATCGTAACCCATTCTACTTAGTTGATGACTTTATTTTAGATAGCGTCTAGCTGAGTGCAAATAACAGATGCTTGATATTAGGAGGCTTTATTGCACCTGATATTGGTTGGACTGATATGGTCACGGTAGGATCTATAAACCCTAGTAGCAGGTTCTTGATAACGGTGATGGAGCATACATTAGTACAGGATGTATCCAAACCCATACGTTTTGGTTCAAACCAAGGTTCTTTGTTCGACTCGCTAATCACTCATACGACTGAGGATATTGTCACAGTTAGCGAAAAGCGATCACGCTGTTTTGTCACTCATATTTAGGGCTAGTGACATGATATACGGTCAGGTTAAGCCTCGCCCAAATGTATGGAGAGCTAACATATCGGCCATTCAGGAGTGTGCTACTAATACAGATTGGTAGGTAGATACTAGCTCATCAGTTAAAGCATGGTCTATATTTAAAGGCAAGCCTAGTTCAGTTACGTCCTCGTTTATACCATGCCTAGTACCACATAAACCGAATAACTCCACCATGGATAACTAAACAAGTCAAGAAACTTCTTAGACGTAGGAAAACGTACTGGAATACATTCACCTCTATTAGCTTAAGACAATACAGATCCAGTTACTGTAAGACTAGGAATGCTTGTAAAGTGTTGATAAGTAAGACTCGACAGTTATATGAAGAACAATTGGTTAGGGATTGTAAAAATAGTTAGGTACGGTTATTTCCGTATGTAAAGAGGCAAACTCAGAGAAGAGATGGATTCCATCACTTTTGGTACAAGAAGATCCGTTGATATTGGCAAGAGGTGATGCCGAAAAAGTTTAAGCTTTACCGAAATATTTTGGTAAAGTGTTTTCTATCAGCAATGAGGAACGACCGACGATTAATTGTGACAGGCAGTTTGTTGATAGATCCTATAGCTATTGAGCAAGGTGCTGTCTTAAGACTACTTCAACATCTTAAACCTGATAAGCCCAGTGGTCCTGACGATATTCAACTTGGGATTATGAAAGCCCTATCGGATCTAATTGCTGAACCTACAGCCATAATGTTTGATATGTCTCTGACGCAGTCCACACTGCTAAGGGACTGGAAAGACGCAATAATTAATCACGTGCATAAGGCAGGGAGCAGAGAGTTAGTTAGTAACTATTGACCCGTTAGTATAACCAGTGAAGTTATCAAACTAATGGAGATTATTCGGATGGCTGTTATAAACCGTGTGGAATGGCATCATCTCTTATCCAGGGAACAACATGGCTTTCGAAAAGGCCTATCATGCTTGAAAATCTGCTCTTTGCAAGAGAAGATTGGGCTGAAGCAAAAGACGGAAATATTCCTGCAGATGTAATTTCCATAGATCTAAATAAAGTCTTTGACAAGGTTACCCATTTGGGTCTTAGATTAAAACTAGAAAGCTTTGGAGACCCATACAAAGTATGTAAGATAGAATAGCATTACAGGATGATCTAGTGGTGGCATGGTTGGGCGGATGGTCACTCGAAGTGGATTCTAACAAGTGTGGTGATGCAATCAAATATGATTCGTATCACTACACAATGCGTGTAGTTGCGTTATCCAAAGTAATGGACTATAAAGATTTAGGAGTCGTAATAAGCAGCAACATCAAAACTACGAGCGACTACAAGGCAGCTGCTACCAATGGCTTTAGGGTATTATGGGCCATTTGTAGGTCTTTTCAGTACTTGGGCGAAATGCTAGTGTTATACCCGACTTTCGTGAAACCGCGTCTGAAATATGGGATTCAAGCAGCAGGCCCTTCTTTCAATTGTGGGGCAGATATACTGGAACGAGTCTAAAGATGAGGGACTAGAACGGTAAGAGGTCTCTCTAGCTTATCTTATGAAGACAGACTTAAACACCTCAACTTATTTCCGTCATCTTAAAATAGATTACGGGCTGATATAATATTGGCTTATCGTATACTGAAAGATGACTTTGGTATTGACGTCTTATCTTTCCCTTCCGTCTAGGACTGATCATTTGAGAAGACATTATAAGGAAGCTCGAAAACCGAGATCAAATCAATTACGTCTGTAGTTTTGTTTCTCATAATGAGTAGTGAATTACTGGAATTCTCTACCAGAAGACGTAATATCAGCACCTTCTGTTGATATATTAAAAACGAGATTGGACCTTCAATGTTAAAACTGCAAGCACTAATACAGGTCGATAGACATAACCTTATTACTGAAGATGTTTCGACTAGTGCAATCATAGTGAGCAGCCCTACAAATAACCCATAGTTGAACAGGCTTAAAATGAGTCACATGCACAACGAACAAATCTGCTCCCAAAATTACATTTTATGCAACTATGAAGAATTTTTTTCAACAAAGAACTTTGATAAGCAGCGAGCAGACATGTGTAAAAAAAATAAGACAACATATATCATGCAATGAAGAATTTGGAATATAACCTGAATTCATATAATAGAATCAGAAACGGTAATTATCACAATGAAAATGTGGAAACCACTACATGAACAACAGTAACGACAAACCTCAAACCCAGCGGCAACTGGTTTTGGACAGAATAGAAAAAGCTTTCGCATTGAATCACTAATACCTCCAAGCAGGAACCTAGGTATATTATCGATAATAGGGGAAAAAGAAAAGAAGTTAGTGAATCTTAATGACATACTATCGTTAGTCCCTGAGAATGTCAAGTTTCCTCTTAAATGACTCCAAAGAAGTCGATTGAACCAACTCCAGTTTTGGTTTATCGAATAAGGGTCGCATGATGAGATAAGCCTATAGAATTGAAACGAAAGTCTCCAAGGCGTTGCACAGGCTCTCCCACCTAGGTACTAAAGGGACCATCAAGTTCATAAAAGAGCGATTCATTGGTCTGATATGATTAAATATATGAGGGAGTAGACAGGCACTTGTGTAAACTGCCAGAAGTCTAAGGTGAATAGAAACAATAAATATACCTTGGGCCTTCTCAAAACACCCAACGTTTCGACTATGTTCATCTTGATTTGGTAAGGCCCTACTGCATTAGAACTGATCCTCTTACCTCAAAACCTATGTAGACCGTTTCACACAACGGTGTGAATCAGTATCTATCACACTGTTTCATGCTATTTAACTGTCTAGAGAGTGCGTAATGCTAATCAACGATCTCTGCGTACGTGCATTTGCGACTATATAACGAGAGAAACCCCTTGCCTGAAGACCATGGTCTATGGCTGACCAGTCTCTGCTGATTGCTTCGGAATAGGATAAGCGCTAGGACGAACTTTCACATCGTTGGAATCAGGCAGCCTTTAATAATCACATACTGGACCACTCCGTGACATCGACTTTAGTCAAACAAGACCTTGTTACCAATGGTCCAGCAAAATACAACAGTAAAAGTAAGTAATGGGAAGCAAATCTTTAACCAAGGTCATAAAATAAAAACTCAGACAAGGGAGATTTAAGAACATAAAGTGTGGCTAAAAGAGACCTGACTAAAGATTAGAATGCAATACAGAGAAAATGAACAAATAAATACTACCTAATAAAATGCTTTGGAGGAATTTTCAGTGTATTCTTTCCGGTACAATGATCAAATCGGACAAAAACACAATTTCTAATTCTATTATTCGAAGGTGAACAAGAACTGTTGGCAAGAGTCTTGAACACAACTGTATCATCTCCAAATATATTTGACTCACTCTGAAGCAAAATATCCGAGAAACTAGACCTGTTCACACAGTGAATTAAGGTTTTACTAGTTTATAAAATATCAGATATTAAGAAATGTTCCTAAATAGTATTGTTTTATTCCAACTGAGGGAACTAAGTGGGTACAATCAAATAAACCAAATACCAAAAACAAGCAGAATCTCTGCGATAAACCGGATTTTTTTTTCAATTTGGATTCAACTACAGGAAACTGTAATATATAGTGCACTAAATGACTCACTCAGCAGATCAGACAGATGGAAAACTAAAAATGACTTTCTTGAGCCTTCTCGTAAAGTGAAAATCAAAATCATATAAATGACTTAATGTTTTGAAGTCCACATTACTGTGTAATGAGGTATGGATTTTTACTTAGAAAACCTGACTTTCAACACATTTAATAATGCTACTTTGTGTTAATTTATCTAGCTTAATAATCTTTATTTCCAACTATATCGTTCAGTGCACTTCGCAAGGGAAGTGTTTAATTTCTCTGTTGACGGCTCAGATACTGCTCCGTCGAATTAGATTTCCTAAATGTTTACAGCATAACATTTTACAAGTGAATATGTTTTTAAGTTCGGAAGTTCCCTTATATCACAATAACATTTATGAATAGGACTGACATATAGTGACTATTCTGTAATCAAAACAATTGATACAAGAACCATTTGAGTTATAAATCCATCAAAATTGTGACACTTGAAAGAAGTTATATATATCTCGTGTTAACATAAAAGTTCGAATCTCCAATCGAGTTATTATGTGTAGTAGCACCTTGTATAGACAACTGTGACGTTGCATTAGATCAGCACCACACCACGCGAGGATTTTTCTAGATTGTAGATGGACCAATCATCCCACTAATTTTAGGTTATTATTCATGCATATTTGACCTTGTCAGTTACTCGTTTGTAACCTTGATTTTTTTTATACGAACCCTATGTAACTGACACACCTCGTTCCTCTCCTGTCTGTCTGCGGTAACCGACATACGAGGTATGTGTCTAAACATCATCCAGGAATTAGACTTGTTTTATTACGCATTTCACTAACGCAAATTAACTCATAAATATTTACGAGATTAAGTGGAATATGTGTTTCGTTAACATCATCCGATCACATAGACATTATGTACGGGGACTAAACCCATTAGTATATTTCACCACATTTTTCTTGATAGCAGAGGACTACACAGTCTGTCGGTAGAGATTACAACTATTCGACATTACCTTATGTCATTATAAACAAATACCAACTTGAGCTTCAGGCAGACTTAAATAATACGATTAACTGGTCTAAAGAGTGGCTGATTCCTATCGACGCGGCAATGTGTCCACATGCACTTTGGGGATTCAAGGGATAATAGGTACAACATAGGGGAAGTGCCATTCCCCGTGGTCCGGTCTCATAAGGATCTAGGGGTGGCCGCCGAGAGGTGACACCTAAGGGGTTTCGAACCCTCTGGACTTCAAAGCGGATATTCACTATGTTAGATATTACCATGTTCATCACAGTATACACATCCTTAGTGAGAACTGCGTTCAGGCTGCAGGCCCCTGTTTAAAAGATGACACGGACATCCTAGAAGTACAGAGGGCAGCTACCCGTACAATTCAAGAGCTCCGGGGTTTACCATACAAAGAGCGGCTTGAAAAGTTGGACCTCTTTACTCTGTCCTCTCGCAGGTTAAGGGGAGATCAATTTTGATGTATAGAATACCACTAGATCGGGACATCTCAGAGGACATAGCAGGCGAGTAGAAAAGCCAAGGACGAACAAACTACCCGTGACATACAGGTTTTCACACCGAGTCATCAATACTTGGAACCTGCTGCCCGAAGCAGTGGTCACTGCTTGACACTTTCAAGAGAAGACTGGACACTCACAGAAGCATACCAGAAAAGGAATAACTTAGGCCGTAGGCCTTCTGTCCTTACTACACAAATCTGAATCTGAGTGCACGGGCATGCGAAAACCTATAACAAATCTAGCGCCCTTCATTTCTTCTAAATTAACAACCCGTTATGATGTCCCCACTTCGCTCAATAGGATCTGTGACGTTTTACCAAATGGTGACTGTGGACAGAATAGGACTGACAGCACTGTACCGCCAAGAGGATAGAAAAGACTGAGACACGCGTGAACGTATGGTATTAGAACATGAGGCAATTATGTACCAAACATCTGCTCCGTTGGGAGTAACAGACATAAGTAATCCGCTATTTAGTTAAACAACATAATATCCTTGCACTCGTGAAAACGAACTCAACATATCATAAGGAATTTTTGTTTACACTGGATTTAGATAGTAGCCACCTGCTATATTTGAATATTTTGTGAGTATACATTTAATAATCTCCAGAAAACCTGCAAAATCTCTGTCCAAACTAAATGTAATTCGTTAATTGCCGTGCGAAATACAGTGAATAAGGCCTCACGAAATACCTAGTTCACTATTCTGAGCTGAAATCCTTATTTTATTACAATTAGCACTCAACCCTCAGCATCGGTTTAAAGCCATAATCTCGTTCCATGATGTGACCCTTCTGTTTGGAACATTTGAATAACAGACTTACTTCCATATCTGTTTTAGTCCTTATACTCTGAAGTTATAACTAAACTACTCAATGGAGATCAAGACAAAGCATTTCAAGGAATTGATTCTCATTGTCAGAAGATAAGCACTGTGACGCGATGAGAAACCTAGTTAAAGCCTATTGGTTAAGTGTTCAGGTATAAGAGATATTCGATGCACAGTCACTTAGTCATTACTACCCCGTGTACACATTTTTTTGCTACACTAGTTTCAAACCGATTCCCATAGTCATGTCTAAGTGTGGAAATATCGTCTCTTGTGACAAAGAAACGAGATGATAAACTGTTTGTTATGAAGCAAGTAAAATCTGACTACATCTAAGAACAAGAAAAATAAAAGCTTAGTCTAAAAAAACAGCACCATACAATCGAAAGTATGTCTATACATTATATACAATAAAAGTGAATGTAATTCGATGTATGAAAATATATTTCCAAAAGATAAAAAAGTGCACATACATGCCACGACGGTATGTAAAATTTTACATTAGAACAGTGAATAAAAACTATTTAGTCCTTGTCCTATCTCCCAGATAGAAACACCCGTACCTCTGGATAGTATAGCTTGTAGACGTTGTGCTATCGACATCAAGGTAGGATAGAAAGCCAAGTGATCTTGCGATTTTTTATCCCTACAAAAAATATATAAGGTATTTACTAAAAAAACTTGAAGTAGAATGAAAGACAAAAACAACGGAAACTGGCATGTGATGGAAAACACCAGGGATTAAATTGAAGTTACAGTACTCTGAAACAATTTCAACGGAAAACGAACAGGTTACAATGAAATAAACATGTTTGTAACAGAACAGGAGAAATATTGATTAAATAGCTTCAAATGTTACGCAAAGACATTTTTTATTGATATTGACTAAGAGCCAAAGTACAAGGTTAAATATTTCAAATTACTGACAATTTTCTACCCTTATTCAGAAGGTTGAACCTTCCAACTATTTTAAACTAAAAATCAACGAATGAGAGAACGGGTGCCATACCTCGAAGTGTGATTAAGAATAGAGAGGATTTTCAAACTTTTCAAGTATTAAAAGAAATCTTATGAAAAAAGGCGAGCTATGAAGGTTTTTTATCTGGTGAAAAAAAGAAAATGAATGTACTAAACAGGAACAATTTAAAGACCAATTCAAAGCATACATAGAAATTAAGATAGATAAATGACATTGACAAAACTACATTAGATAAAAAGTCACCAAGTGAAGATGATACTGACTGCTGAATTGGACGTCTTAGACTCCATTTTAAGAATGCTTTACTATCATAAGTTTTTTTCACAAATAATGATGCAATGTTTAGAAAGTTTGAACTCATAGAATATAGGGATGAAAAATTTATAGTATTTTCAGAATGACTATCGTATGGTAATTGTTTCACTGAATTTATTGAGCAAAAAGAAAAATAATCTTACTTGTAAGAGAAGCTATGTTCAGCCCATTTTTTTTCCCATTTAAAATTCGGTTGATACTTCTCAACTATTTCAATAACACTGAACAACAGAATAAAGAAAATACAGTATCAATTTGTGAAATTAACAAAAACTGCTTTAGAAGTTAGTGATATTGAAGTTACCCGAGGTATTTCATTGATAATTATCTTTGCAAAGACACTGAAGAGTTGTAAGAATGAGTTCCCCTGATTTTGTCTCGAAAATTATTGATCTAACTTTACATAATCGGACAAAAAATGATATAGCTGATATAACTAATCAGTACGTGAACTTTACCAACACTGAAGTTAATAATTCTGTCCAAAGAATACCAGGCACTATTAAAACACACCGAGAGAAATGAAACATTCACAGTTCACTTCTCTAAGTACGTTAACTACTATGTATAATTTTGATTTTAAAACATTCTAGGTTGTAGTAGCTGATGACAACTTAGATAAATAAAATAAATTCATGTTATTCTGCTTAAATCCTTATTAACACTTTTTTCAAAATAAATTCACAGTCGACGCACTAAACTTTAAACTACTCATAATATGTAATAGTTGGTTAGTTCAACTTATTGAGTCAGAGTGGGTAGGTTGAGGATCAAATTTTTAGATTAAATAGTTAGAAGTAAAGAGCTTAGACCAATGAAACACAGTCCCTTTGATGAATACGATATGAGAAACATTCCTGGATAGCAATAAAATCAATAAAAATTTTCAACAAAATGAAGCGAAAAGGAAATTCTTCAGAGGAAAATGAAACACTTACTCATTGCCTTTAATAGGTTCACCGATTAATTTTTTAGGCAAGTAATCGACTCCATAAAAGTTTAAACCCACTAAAATTTGTTTACGCAATTTTGCCTGGTCTAAAGAATTCTTTGGAACCAAACGATTAATGCATTCTTCTACCCAACTCAAAGGACTATTAGGCCCAGGTCTGTTATATGGTTTATAGAGAAAAGAAGCGCAATAATAATTACACAACCAAAATAGAGTCATGTACACTATAGTTTAAAAATCATCATTAAACGTACGACCTACCAGCAAGAAGTGAAACAAAATCATTATACACGTTATATATATATAGCAACCAAGCGAAATGAATAGTCAGATGGTAACAACACATCGGTTAGTTTGATTAGACTCAAAAACAGTAATACTATATTATAAGAACATTATATCAATGATTCATTTTATTGATTTCATTTGAAACCTCTGACTCGGATTGCAGTGGCTAGTGGAAAGTTATTCATTTTCCGACTGTGTAATAACTCGAACTATGAGATTTTTGTATTTTTATACAACATAAACTATTGATGACAAAATTTCAAAGGCTGAAAAGACATTACATTTGTAAAGAATTGATGGGAGATATTAGGATACACAAGTAGATGTTTACTTGAATAAGAAATAAATAAGGACATATGTAAGATGAAGGTTGCTCGGTACTGGATCAATTACTCACTTGGAAGGCCTATACACGTTTTGGAGGTTGAGTAACTCGGCATTAACCAATAGAAAACAGAACTACGCTTCAGATTACTGAAGCACGTGTTGATGAAGAACGACTAAAATGCTCGACTGTGAAGCACAAATTACAAGTAAAATTGACGGAATAAGTTTACGAAGACAAGCATTCCTTCCATGGGTCAGTCTTACAATTCCGCCTGATAAACTTAGAAGTATTTACATAATTCTTCGAAAATTTACATTCATTATCAGTTGAACAGTTACTAAACTAGACCGTATTTATTCATATTTGAACTGTTAGAATCCATTCATGTGCAGAAGGAAAAAAGTTAAAGTTTCTTTTGTGGTGATATGGATTCTTTGTCATACATTTCATTGAAGCGACGTTCCATAAAAGCCATAGTAATTATACAAAAGAGATGCTTTGAAAACACTTGTGATTAGAAATACCTTTAACTTTTTTATATTTTTTCAGAATGTTAAACTTCATATGAAACGCACTAAGACTAATTTTTTAGGAAAAAAACTTCAAACTCAGGAATAATTAATTAGACTTCACCAGACTTCAGAAGATAAAAATATACGAAATTATTATTTAGATAAACTCACCTATGAGGTGAAGAATAGTCGTAAGTCATTAAGCTAAAATAATCAACATAATCGGCCAATATTTTAAAATTTTCTTCTTTAAATCTTCCTTCTATGCCTCTAACAATTCCAGATTAATTAGGATAATGCATGCATTTACAAAATAAAAGATCTTACTCATAGTAAACAGGAGGTGGGATAACGAGTACAAAAAGCTTGCCGTTTGAATGTAAATTATCAGAAAGTCGTACTATAAAATCTATTAGTGATTGTGATTCTACACCAGAGAACTGTGCCCATATTTCTATGACTGCACCATCAAAATTATATTTCTATGAAGGAAAAATTAGGAACAGAAGAAGATATATTCTTCAAAACGATTCGTTTACAGGGTGAAAAGTCAAAAGGTTATTTGAAACTATCGCATCGAAATCAAAATAGGAGTGACGTGGATGATTACAGATGATAGTAAATGGCTGCCGTAAATTGACTACAAAATATGAACCATGAACTGGAAAGTGGGGTCGTGGGTAACAGCTGGTGATGAATCCGGGGTAAAAAGTAAACAGTTACTCAGAGCTATCGTGCTTATAACAACTTTAAAAACTGCTTTAAAACAAGAAATGAACACAAATTATCTCTCTAGCCTATTATCTATGATCTGTTTTATATCAATCTGAATTCTCTTAATATCGTATTTAAATAGCAAAAAAATAAGCTAGTCATGTTCAAAATGTTAATGCAAATACTATACAGTTAGTAAACTGTAAACCTACTTCTGAGTATTGAGAATTCGCTCAAATTAGCTTGCTAGCTTCAATTTTTCAAGATCATCTAATGATCTCAGTGTTTTATTTATATTCTCTGTTAAATAGAATCCACAGAAACGGAAGATTCATACAGTTGAGTTTAATAAGTTGGATAAGAATTAAGCCTGAAAGTCAGGTTTTAACTTCATTAGAATGACGTACATAATCTGTTTCGCCTAACGGTTTATTTTGTGACTAATTTAAGGTCATTTTTTATTTCTTTGATATTGCATATATATGCGTGTTATTTTATTAAACGAAAGATCTATTCTGCTGGCTAGTGATTTTGATCAGTTTATTCGAGGTTTTAAGTGAATAATTCAGTTTCGTGAGCAATTATTCATCGACCATATCGTATAACTGCATCTTTGATAGGTATTATATGTACCCATTTCAACAATCCCCAAAAATCCTTTGTTATAAATCATAAAATCCCTCTCCATTAAAGTGGGGATGGGAATAAAAACAGATTGCTGGAATGCCGGTTCCACTGGATGAGTGGAATTCATTGACAGAAGTTATTAAAATGCTTTAAAGTGAATCAACATTTGTAAACCACTTACCGATAAGCTCAAAATCAAATGCAATTCACAAATAATGTATTACAGATGAAAATCTAAGTTCATGTAACAGTTCAGTGGTTACGAGCAATGATGAAACAAACTAGATAGATAGTCTTGAACAAAACTCCAACTCAAGTTCAGTCATAGCATTTCACTCAGAACTTCATGAGAATTCCTCGATTTTAGGTACTGAGTCCTCGAATGCAGGTACAATCTATTCAACTGAGTCTACAACGTATTCACTGGATGATTCACCACAGATTTATCAAAACCAGACTTTTTCAATTAGAGCGAAAAATTGCTTCAGGTGTTTATATTATTACCGACAAAACCATGTGAAAAACGTCTATCCTAGAGAGGTAAAAATTAGAATTGTTTTGCTCTTGGAAACCAGGCAATTATACGGTTGTGTTCCAAATTTTATGTCAATGGTGAAATTTAAAATTGCCAGGTCCAAATTTTGCATCACAATGAACATAAAACAGCAAGCAAATCTAAGACGCTGTAAAACTACGCTGCAATATGTTCGGTATTTGGAGAACCTATCTTTAAGATTCCAGTGATCTCTTGTGAATGCATGGCAGTATTTAAGCATTAAACAGAAATTGGAAAAGTGGACAGCATATCTACAACCTGACAAAAAATCAACCTGCTTTCGTAGAGTCCGTTTCAAGCGATGATTACTATTTCATTCGTTCAACGACAGTTTTAGTAAACCTTCATCAACTTATTTGTACGATCGATTTTCCTAGGTCACAAGAGAGGCCAAGAAAAGCTTGTTATATTTCAATTACCTATTTACTGTAGTTTAGACGTATAATCCACTATTTATACGAATGTGACAGTTTGATTAAAAGTATATCTGAATCTTTATCTATTCTCCCACAGGTTGCAAATACAGACAAACAGTAACTTTAGTCATGTACTGACTAGCACTCATAAAATACAGATAGATTCTTCACACGTTCCCCAGTGTACTTGTGAATTTAATTAGATATTAAGAACACACGCTTTCCAAACGTAACTGGTGTTTCAGCTTCTGAATATTCCTAAATGAATTCAATAGCGATACAAAGAGAATTAGCCTGATAAAAAATACACAGTTAACGGGTCATTAGATTTCGTAGTCAAATTTGGGAGAACAGTCTCTACAAACTGGTAAGCCCTACTTTGGACTTAACGCAACCTGGAGAACCACATCGACGAAGAACCTTTCGAACCCTATAGATTCGGCCAACGAACTCAACAGAGCTGACTCAATCGGCAAGAAACGCAGATGACAATTTGGTGAGCCAAAAGAAAAGAACGCGCATCATATTTTCAAAAGCAGTGCTAAACATTCTCAAGTCACACAGCAAATAACATCCTGTTGGGAATTACGTCATCCATAACACTTCATTCGAATTTTCAATAAACGCTATCATAAGATTTTCATTGTGGAATAATCGTACTAGATTTTCTTACATAAATTCTAAATGCCAGTCATTTTCGGTATCCATAAACTTATATTTTAATAGATCATTTATCACTTTAATTTCTTGCTCTCCTCTGTATCAGTTCACTAGATAATTCCGTGACCCTCTTACCTAAGTCTGCTTCCAAGGGTGCCTTTTCTGGCTCAACAGTAATCACTTTACGATCAGCTGATGGTAAACTCATACTCCGATGATTGTCACACATATAAACTAGACTGGCCTTAACGATGTATATAATAATAAAGGAACATTTCCTATTTGTCATTGCTACGCTGATCAAGCGAAAAATTAGCATTCGATGAAATGCATACGAATATTAGTGCAAGGAATGCTAACGGTATAACCACAGTGTGATGGAGAACAAATAATTAATAACATAACTGAGGTTGTCTCACAGAGGAGATAAATTACAAGAATAATCACAAAACGAAAGGATAAATAGACATTACTATTACTCATAGTGAGCTTCTGAATGTCCTAATACCTTTTACTTAATTGTAACTGTCAATAAAGAGCTAGCATTTGTTATAGTCATCAAACTCGATCATATGCAGCACTCATTAACGATACACAAGGCGAATACTACATATCAATAGGTCATGGGATCATATGTTATCCAATGAAATATGAACGCTAAAGAAGATTCTGTTCATTAACAATAACAAAAATTCTTCCACTATTATGAAAATAAAATAGTGCACACTAAATTCTGACAACAGAACAAGTCAAGCACAGCTTCCAGAGGGAAAAAGGAACCAACCAATTATGAGCAAAAACTAACCTTTAAAATATTGATCACATTTCGAATACATTTATCTGTTTTAGGAACATCTTTTAAAGTTGCGGCATAATCTCGGTCTTCCCATGGACCGAAGGAAAATCGAGGTACTATCTTTACATCAGGATTCACAGTGCGAATTTCACTAAGCCATTCTGAGAAAATATAATAATCCAGAAAAGGTTTCAATCAAACCAGTGTTAATTTCAGGGATCCCAGTAACTGTATATGCCTTTTTTTCACCTTGGACTTCAAACCACACAGGAGCAATAAGGTTGAATTTAGCACCGAATATTTTTGCTACTTCGTATCCTAGTTTATTCCACTATATATCTGGTTTTTAACACAGAATAATGTTACTTACAGGCGTTACATATGCTAAACAGTTGCGTTCAAATTCTTTTGGGAAGTGGTGTACTTATTATATGATGAATGTGATTTCAGAAACAAATCAATAGCGATGCTTTCTGTGGGGACAGCATACGCCTGAGAGGTTTTAGTTAATGAATACATAACTACCATTTCGTCATATTCCTCTAAAGAAACTGAATATGTGATATGTAATAGTGTTATGAAAATCACTTTAACAATACATAATATAAATCCAAGTGAGGTATATGATTGTAACCTATTTCCCTGAAATGAAAAAAAGAACAAAATGAAAAGATTCGAAAATGAACTGGCTATATAACTAGACACAAATACAGTTGTATTCGAAATCTATTGGGAAGTCAAGTAAAATCACTCCAGATTAGTGGATTAGGTAGTTCGGGTAAATTAATGATTTGGCATAAACATTTTTTTACTTGTCACACACTACAAAAGGAAAAGTGAATTGAAAGTATGAAAGAATGCTATCTTTGAAATGGGAAAATAAAAATGATTGCAGCCATACTAGCTTGTGATAAGAATTGAGAAATCACGAAAAACCTCTAGTTGGTAAAATAACCTAATTCTGATTTCGGATGTGATAGCTATAAAGGACAATCGATGGCAAGTAGACTGAGAAATGCACCCTCGATTTAATATAAGCGCTTACTGGAATTCTTACTAAACACAATCTTTGTGCTACTAGTCAGTCTATCTCACAAACTGTCCTTGGAATTTTTAAGCAACCTCAAGTCAAACATAGTCACCCCCCTTAAACTGCTAGCACTGAGAATATACTAATACTGGAGGAAATCTAAACGAACCAGCAACGATCGATTAAATCATCCGAGTTCTATCAATAAGCTTAAACCGTCACAAGACTTAAACATATGGTTACTTTCACTTTAGTATCTATAGTTCAAGGAATATTGTGTAGCCAACATTCTGCTTGTATTTTCTATAGAGGTCGTCCTATGGATGAAGTCACTATTCGAGAGACAACAGAAAGCCGGCTACTTTCATTATACTTAGGACCTGTATTTCTAAAAAATCAATTATCTTTAGAACTTTCTGAAAATTTTTATCGCCCATCGCTGTTAATTTACTTGTCTCACCTTAAGACATACACCATGTTTGAGAAGTGTGGGTAGAAACTTGAATTCTTGATAGGATACGAAAAGTGCTATAAAATCAAGAACATAGTCTACAATGCGAATAGCTTAAAGTCCATTATTGATGATCTAAAAAAAGAGCTTGAATTTGTTCTCTGAGTCGCCGCTAGTCAGTAACAACGTAGAACGTCGTACGTACGTACATCAGTTCGAGTTGCCACACCACATTAGCACAGACATGTAGTGGTCGATTCAAATCCCGTAGTGCTAGATGTAGTAAAATTGTGAGCTGTAATCATAAAAATTAGGGTTTGAAGATGTTATTCAAGGAGTACAATCCAGCGGAATAAGTTTGGGAAGAGAAAAAAGAAAGGGACATAAAGAATTCAGAAGATTAGAATTTGGGAGAACACAGAGAGTGGATGCACCTGCGCCATTGAAAACGATTTTCAGCCATGTCATTCAGGGTCTCTAACCATCGGTTGCTATCATCTCGTGGTCCCCAACCAGGTATTCTACACATAGCAACATGACTCAGTTCACTTGTCAGTGACTTCATGGACTTGTGCCATGTTTTGGTCTGGCCACCCCTATCTTTCTTCTAACCTACTCCTATACCACTGAACATCGCACGTCGAGGCAGTAGGTCGTTGGGCATACGTAACACGTGTCCAAGCCATCTCAACTGATGAAGTTTCACTACGTCATCAATGGATTTGCCATCCTTACCTAGTACCCGTTTCCTAACAACTGTGTTACTTACTCGATGGTCCCATGATATACGAGCAATGTTTCGAAGACACCTATGATCGAATACTGGTAACCTACGAATATCCTCTACTCTTACCGGCCATGTTTTACTGCCATAAAGTAGGACGGGACGAACTGCTGCACAGTAAACCCGTCCTTTGGTTGATAGACGGATACCTCGCCTACGCCATAAATGATGCAAGTTGGTAAAAGCTAGTCGAGCCTACTGTATACGTGCTGAGATTTTGTCACACACCAGACCACAGGGGCTGATCAGACTTCCAAGATAAGTGAAGCGGTCGACACACTCAACTACTTCACTCCCTATCATCAGTTCGGGTGTCAATGCAACCCAATCCTGAAGCAACATTTTGCATTTAGAGGGAGAGAATCGCATGCCGAACATGCTTGCATTGTTGCTTAGAGTGGTCAGAAGACTCTGCATTTCTTCAGCGTCCTCACCAAATAAAACTGTCATCAGCATATTTTAAGTCAACAAGTGAACCTCCCGGTAGAAGTTCAACCCCTGGAAATCTAAACGAGGAAAGTGTTATCTCTAAAAGTAGGTCGACGACAAATTTGAACAAGAATGGAGAGAGTGGACAGCCCTGACGAACACCACTTGAGGTAATCAATTCTGACGACAGTTCGCCATAAGCTCTCACTCTACCAGTTGTGTTTGAGTAGAGAGCCTTTACAAGGTTAATGTACTTCTTTGATACTCCTTTCAGAGACAAACACTGCCATACAACCTTACGATCAACAGAGTCAAATGCCGCCTTAAGGTCGAGAAATACTACCATTGTGGGGCGTCTGAATGTGTGTCTGTATTCTAGAACATGACGTAGTGTGAATATCTGATCTATACAACCACGTCCAGGTCGAAAACCAGCCTAATTTCTCTAGTCTGTTCTTCACGAGCTTTGGTTAGGCGTCGAAGTATTATTCAAGCTAATATTTTAGACACTATATTTGTCAAACTGATTCCTCTGTGATTGTCACAAGAGGACTTTTGTCTTTTCTTATAGACTGGCACAATCAGTGATTGAGACCAGTCAGATGGGATTACGTCCAGTTCCCAAATTCTACCTAAAACCTCAGGAATCGCCGCCAAGGTCATATACGTGGAAAATTAGGACCTCAGTACATTGTAGACTTGCCGCAGCTTAATAAGCAGCACAGTGATCTGTCGAATAAGTCTACATAGCCATGAAATACTACTTAATGTAACTGGGTCTTTTGTAAGTGGTAGTTTCTCGAAGGATGTCATCACATCCTAAAACTCGGTTTCCTACTGACGAAATCGGTAATATAATAATACCAACTATTTATTTATTTATTTGAACACATAGATATTAGTACAAGGAGGCACCAGATACATATGCGCCACACAAACCTCATTTGATTCGTGTGAGGGCTGTGATACTGCCCGGGTGCCCAAACCGAAGCGGGTGTTTTTCTCAGGGGGACACACCCGGAACCTTCGACCTACAGGTCTGGCCCACAAGACAGTGGAGCAACGTAAGGAGATACAGTCCCATGATAGCCGGTCACCAATAATTGGTTCATACGCCATTTGTTCCTTCAGGATCCTGGATCCTACGTACACCATTGGTTTAGAGTCAGGGTTTTCCAACTCCTTAGGTGGACCCTCTGTATCCACCAACCCGGTTAAGGCGCCGGACATTCGCTTTCCGTCCTCTCAATTTTGTAAACAACAGCCCCGCCACGAGAAGGCAGTGAGTAGGACTTCCCTGGCAGAGGTTATATATACTCGTGGCCATGTGAGAGCATTTCGAGAGGGAGAGTGGACTCTCCCCACTCTTGGCCGTACCAGGCCATTTGGAGGCAATAATACCAAACATAAAGCCTGGGTTTATAAGACAAATTAGTGGAGAATAAGTAGGTTTAGACCTTACGCTAATCCTTCTGATTACTTTACCGAGGCGTTTCCTTTCAGCAGTATCGGCGCCTTTAGATGTTCAGCAGTTAGCCACGAATTTGAGTAGATTTCTACGAGTTATACTTTGTAAGTGCATCTCAATCTCTACACGAAACTAAGATGTTATCATTTCACCCGTACGTACGTTTGCATTAAATTTAGTGATATTACATCTCAAGAAGTGTACCAGTAGGAATAGTTCTAGATTAAACAGATTTACACAATGGCTGAACAATCGTGGCATTTTCAGAGGGTGAGATTATTTTTCCATATAAATCTATAAATTTTGCCTTGGGACGGGTCTGCGTCGACACCTGAACTATTGGTGGGGAGTGAAGAAGCTGAGTGCGTCAACCACACAATTTATTTTGGAGGTTTTATTAGGTTTGAAGGGTTGTCCGACGAAATCTCTGTGCAGATTTAGAAATCCCGGTTGGTGTTAGCCAACTTGTGTCATTCATGGCATAGGCAAGATGTCCACCTGCTAACCAAAATGTGTGTATGTTGCAAAGCAGTCTAATCTGTTCTACCTTATGGCTGTGAAGCAGTCTATAAAAGTAGGGACACGCATAGGCTGAAGGTCACTGATCATAGGTGTCTTCGAAGTAATTTTCGTGTTTTTCTAAACGACCGAGTGAGCAACGCTAGGGTTAAGTATATGGTAATTCATAAATCGGTTGATGAGGTAGTGAACCTTCAATGACTAAGATGGATAGGATATATGTTACGCATGCCTAACCACAGCCTAGTGTAAAAACAGGTTAGAAGAAAGCTAAACAGACAAATCAAAAAGCGACATCGGTCTACAAAGTCATTGGCTGTTAGGTTGAGCCATGTCAGTTGATGCAAACTATCTGACTGAGATCTGTGTGATAAGCGAGATTAGTGGTTATAGACCGAATGACGTGAATTAACACATACAACAGGCTGTAAGTTGATTATGTCTGTCTAACATATCGGATAACACTTTTAGATAATGGCAGCCTATTTCACAAGTTAGAGTTATCAACAATGTTTTCAAGTTTTCAAATGTAACTTTTAAATTTCATAACACAATTAAATTTTCCTTTAGCATCAACTATAATTTTGTCATTATCAACGTCATGGAGAAATGAGCGTTTGTAGAACCCAGCATCTGGCTGTTCAGCAAGCACTTATGCATACAAAGAGGGTGTGGTATCAAAAGAAATTATGGATAGGATTAGTCTCGATGCTGATTGATCTTTGCGGATATACAGTCTATATTATTGTGACTAGTTGTGGAAACACAAAATATTTTTCCCAGGTGATTTCCAATTAATTATCGATTTCAAGATAACATTGACAGAAATCCTCACTTACTATACGATCAATACCACTGATGATGATACGTTACTATGTCAATCTAGAAAGTATATGAGGTAAAATGGTTATATGCAATATAAAGTGGTTGTCAGACAAGTAAAAATCATGTCGACTATATGTACACATCAAAAGAGTTGGAGGCTGAATACTTTTCGGTTGATTTTCATAGTGTTGATAACTTGACGGGTCAATTTCCACTAGTCACAAAGTATTCATTTGGTGTATTCTTATAAATTAGTTCTTCCGAAACCGATATTTTGATATCACTGATAGGATGCACATCAGAGAACAGTTCAACTGGCCTTCAGCTACTCTACAACTACCCTCCATTCCCAGACAGCGTGAATGGAACATTGAAGTAGGTCCCCCAACTCTTGCTGAAGTTCAAAAGGCTATAGTTAATCTGAAACGAGGAAGGGCAGCTGGTCCAGATGGACTGGCTCCAGAGGTCTTTAAGGATGGTGGTCCAATTTTAGCGATTAGGTTGACTAATATTTTAGCTAAGATCTGGGAATTAGACGTTATCCCATCTAACTGGTCACAATCACTTATCGTCCCAATATATAAGAAAGGGTCAAAATCATCCTGTGACAACCACAGAGGGATTAGTTTAACTAATATAATATCTAAAATACTAGCCTCGATAATTATCAGACGCCTAACTAAGACTCGTGAACTGCAAACACGAGAGAACCAAGCTGGCTTTAGACCTGGTCGTGGCTGCATCGACCACATATTCACCATTCGTCAGATTCTAGAACACAGGCATACTTATCGGCGTCCGACAATGGTGGTCTTTCTTGACTTAAAAGCAGCATTTGACTCTGTAGACCGCGAGATTCTGTGGCAGTGTCTGTCATTGAAAGGCGTACCTCAGAAGTACATAAACCTTGTAAAGGCTCTTTACTCGAACACTACTAGTCGAGTCAGAGCTTATGGCGAACTGTCATCTACTTTTGCAACCTCAAGTGGTGTCCGTCAAGGCTGTCCACTTTCCCCATTTTTGTTTAACTTCATCATAGATCTACTGATGGAAATAACTTTCTCGTCGACTGAGTTCTCGGGTATTGATCTCCTTCCAGGAGGTCCACTTATCGACTTAGAATACGCAGATGACATAGTCCTGTTTGGTGAAGACGCTGACAAAATGCAGAGTCTTCTGGTAGCACTAAGCAACAATGCCAGAATGTTTGGAATGCGCTTCTCTCCCTCTAAATGCAAGTTGTTGCTTCAGGACTGGTCTGCGTCAACACCTGAACTAAGGATAGGGAGTGAAGTAGTCGAACGTGTTGACAACTTCACTTATCTTGGAAGTCTGATCAGCCCTAATGGGTTGGTGTCTGACGAAATCTCAGCACGGATTCGAAAAGCTCGCTTGGCTTTTGCCAACTTACGTCACCTTTGGCGAAGGCGAGATATCCGTCTATCAATAAAAGGACGAGTATACTGCGCGGCTGTCCGTTCTGTTTTACTTTACGGCAGCGAAACATGGCCATTAAGAGTAGAAGACACTCGTAAGCTATTAGTATTTGACCACAGATGCCTTAGAAATATTGCTGGTGTCTGCTGGGATCACCGGGTAAGTAATAGTGAGGTTAGACGCAGGGTATTAGGGAATGATGGTAAATCAGTTGATGAGGTTATGAATCTTCATCGACTGAGATGGTTGGGCCACGTGTTACGTATGCCTGAACACCGATTACCACGACGTGCAATGCTATCCGGTGTTGTAGATGGTTGGAAGAAAGTTAGGGGCGGCCAAACCAAAACGTGGCATCAGTGCTTGAAGACACTAACTTCTAGTCTGAGCCATGTTGGTAGATGCAGACTACTTGGTTGGGGTCCGCGTGACTTTCGTAACCAATGGTTGGAGACCCTTGGTGACATGGCTCAGAATCGATCACAATGGCGTCGGTGTATACACTCTCTGTCTTCTCTTAAACTAAGAGATTAAGATCACTTCACATCTTTCTTTCTACGAACTAATTCTTTCTTCCTATACTATATCCTTATTGCAATCTTCCTCCTATATATTACCACCTTTGACCTAACCACTCCTATGAATCCGGTGTTCATCTTGTTGTGCTGATGCGGTATGGCAACCTGGACCGATGCACATATGTGCCTGGTCCTACGTTGTAGCTGACTGACTGACTGACAGAACCCGGTCACCGAGTAAATTGTACCGAGGCCTATTTTTGTGCTTACAAGTGTCAGGGTTATTATACCACCACTGATATAATAATGTCAGTCATCAGTGATTTATCAAATCAGATAAATAATTTGACCGCTTATATTAAAGCGCACTCATCGAAATTAAAAAAACACATCCAGCATGGATCACGTACTTTGGAAGTTCCACTTCAGACATCAGAAAAACTACGTACGATAGAAACTGCATTAAAGGATCAAAACTCCCTGGTCAGTTTGTGAGTTGTAATTGTTATATTTTGCAAATAAGGTTACAAAATTGTCAGTGGTCACTGAAAATGATTTTTGTAAGTCAGCAAAACTAATTTTTGATTACACAATGCCACTGGAACTTGCAACTATTCATGCTCTCTACGGGACAGACAGCAAGTTGGGTATTAATAAGGACAGATTCTCCCATAAAGACTTACAGTAAGTCATAGACACAGCAAACACTACTGTCCAGGTGTCTTGTGTTCTAGGCTCAAAAGTTGTTCCTTATCTGAGACATTTGACAGGTCAAGCACTTCGATAGTTAAAGCTTAATGCACTATGTGAGATCAAATAAACGTGGGCTAGTATCGAAAGAAAATGTAAGTATAAATCAATCAAGATTGTTTATTATATTTTTATATGCTTAATATTTTTATGTTGATGTTTCTAGTTCGTAGGTTTATGTAAAACTTGTCAATTAATAAACACTTTCAACAGGCTTCTAAAGTACTAAATGAATTTACAGCAAGTCGCTTATTTTGCATAAAAATTTCCGTGCAAACTGTCCTGGCAAACATTATTTTCTTAAGTCCATATGCACACTTGATACACGTATCGCGTCAACAAAGCCTGGGGATGAGGCTTCATGATATTTACTAATCTATGGAGTATTTCCCCTCTTCATTTATTCCTTTAACCGGCGTATTCTTTCAGATGCTTATGATCAAAGAGATATAAATATTGATAATTTCGTCATATCATTGACGGCGAGACTCTAATTTAAGGACGACCTTTGAACGAATCTTAAATGACCTTGACAATTATTAGCCAATCAGAAGAAAGTTAGTATAAAGTGAAAATATATTATATGAAAGTAATAAATTACAGTGGATATTCTTCTTTTACATGATTTAAAAACTTGTTAAAGTTTGATTAAAGTTCAGAGGTTCTGAATTCACAATGCATATGGAATAGAAACTCGTCCATTGGGTTAGGGTTAGGTTTACGGGTAAGGTTAGGGTTAGTTGAGGGTTAAGGTTTAGGGTTAAGGTTAGGGTTACTTGAGGGTTAGGGTTATGTGAGGGTTAGTTGAGGGTTAGGGTTTAGGGTTAATGTTAGGTGAGGGTTAGGCTTAGGATGCTAACATACGAGTTTTTAAATCATGTAAAAGAAGAATATCCACTGTAATTCATTACTTTCTTTTAATATATTTTTATTTTATGCTGTCTTCTTATTGACTAATAATTGAAATTCTCAAACGCTTCTGATTGGCTCGTCCCTAAATTAAAGTCCCGCCGTCCTATCTATTGTAACCTCTCGTTAATCACCTACTCTCTAAAATCCACTGTGAACCAGTCGTATGTTAGCATCGCGTGTTGAACTTGGCTCCGTGACCTTGAAATCGCTCGAACGCTTCTGATTGGCTCGTCCTTAAATTAGAGTCTCGCCTCATTGACTAATATTTTATTTTTCAAGAGTGCTTTTAATCTTAGTTAGAAGCAATATAAGAGGAATTTACGTGAGATGTTTTGCATGTGTTCGATTCATTTAAATACATCGACATTTATGATACGATACTTTTTGTTACAGCCTTACATAAATAAGATGTTAGGTACTTCTAGTGTTGACTGCAAGACTACTTTGATAACATAACTATTGTTTCATGTAAGTAGATAATATGCCATCTAGTCAGAACCGCCCATTTTTTATACCAGGTACAAGTGATTTGGTGTGATATAAGCAACAGCTAGCTTTTTGAAATTACTAGATGACCACATTTATAAAGGCACAAATGGGGGGGGAATGTTATTATGATATAGATTTCTGAACTTTAAGATTGGGACGTTTCCTTTTGAGAACCAGGAGATTCTTCTAACGTCACTGAATATATGGAAGAGTGATCTTATACGTTTACTGTGCCTTCCTAAATTATGAGCGAACTAATAGCACATTTTGGGAGTCTTTGTAGAAGCAATGGAAATTCTGGGTTTCTTTTTTTAAAAAGTTCTGTTTTCGCCTGCAGGGACTTTTATAAAATGTGTGAATTTGAGGGATAAAATCCGCAGCATTAAATATACAGGTTTTTTATAGTATTTTTATAAAACCTCCAACAATTCTTCCGTAAGATTTCTTCGAAATGATTATATTCTACCAGTTTATTTTGGTAAGTAATAGACCATGCTATGAGATTCAATAAATCGAAATTTATACCTAAACCACAACGACTTACCATGACAGTAATACTGAGGACAGTTGCTAGAGTAAGTACACCAAGCACACTACAGGTTGAGAGATTCGCCCTTGAGTTTAGACAACCGACAAGGTTGATAGCGTAATAAAACACTTTCACATAACAGTTATTCTTTGGATTTTTTTAGAAAGAGAAATATACGCATATACAGGCACACAAGAAAAAAAACATGTTTGTTTTTCTTGACACATTAATACAAATGAACGAGATTTAAGAAAATGGTATGCAGTTCCCTATGCTCAGTAGTCAGTTTCAGTTTCAGTTTGGGAAGGACAGGAGGCTCGATGGTCTATCTTAGTCCTGGCAATGGTGGTCCCTCATTTGATCCGAATTTCTTTTGAAAGAGTCGACGGATGGAGCCTCAACCACGTGCTGAGGTAGTGAATTCCACTCGTTGATGATTCGATGGGAAAGTCGATAGTCAGCTGACAAGTAATTTGTTCTCGGCTTATGAACTTTTTTGGAGTGTCCTCGTAAGTTCTCTGTTTTGGAAGACAAGAAAAATGAGGGCATATTAGGTGCAATTTTATCAATGAGCAATTTGTAGACTGTAATCAAGTCGCCTCTAGTTCTGCGATATGACAACGGGAAAAGGTTCAGCTTGGCCAGTCGAACTTCATACGTAAGCTTCGCAGCCGTTCGGAAACACGGTCAAGATGCTGGAGATGAGATTCTCCGTCCTGACCTACTCTCAATCAGTCATCGACAAATTTGTGTACGAAGTTGAGATCACAAAAGACATCATCGATGAATCTCTGGAATGTTTGTACTGCATTCCCTAAACCGAGAGTTATAAACAAAATTTCATAGTTTGAAGGTGATGATGGTGGTTTTGAAAATGTCGTCGGCAGCCATATGAATTTGGTTGTTTGTTCTAACCAAGTCGATTTTTGGAAGGACAGTTGTACCTTTTAAGGTAGCTATCAGGTCGTGAACGTGTGGCAAGTGGTAACAATCGACAATCGTTATCGTATTCTGTCATTGATGATTACTAGTTGAACGTCAATCATTAATGTTCCTTTAAGGAATCGTGTGCAAGGGAGATGCTCATGAACTGTTCGACAGCCGAATAATTACCAAGTTTACAATGTGCTTGGATTCATTTCTAGCCAACCTTAGCTTTTCTGGAGCTAGTCAGTGCGCTTTCGAATTTACAGGTTTTCCCGTAGTTTTGAGGCGATATGTAACTTTGCTGGTTACGCACGGTTTTTTTGATCTCGTTTGTTACAATCTGGGGTCTTTTCGATTATCCGCTAGTCGAAAGGGTCGATTATCTGCCTAACAGTTACTGGGGATAATTTACAGCCAGTAAATGAAATTCCACAAACAGCTAATTTAGTATCACCGTTTATTGACCTCCGTTTGCTCGAGTCGATGGTAAACTATGGTAGTGTGGCGGGTTTACGTCCAGATATATACAGTGGCAACTGGATATAATGTTTGTTTTTATTGTTGTCGAAATAGTGGTTCTTACCTTGTTACTGTGATAATTAACGTTTCTGATTCTATGATAGGAATCCAGTTCATATGCAAAATTCTTCATTGCATGATATGTGTAATCTCATTTTTGTTTTACACTTATATTTCCACTCTGCTTTTTAAATTTTTGCTGAAATAAATTTTCACAGTTACATAAAATGTCGTTTCGGAAGCATATTTGTTCATTGTGTATGTACGTCCATTAGAACTGATGAAGCCGGCATCATACGTCGAAGACTTACAGATCTATTTGTTTTGGGGATCTATTTACCTCTATAAATGCTAACGGTTCAAGAATCAGTAGTGGAATTCAGGGTCATAATATGCGGACTCAGATTTATGTATTGAGGGCAGGTGGACCGCGACCTGTGTTAGTCATTTACTAGTAAGCTTCTGAGCGTGTTTAGCTTACTCTTGAATGAGTCAATTGAATGGGCGGGTAACAGACCCAAACAATTGGTGACTCGGTGTGAAAACCCGTATGACACGAATATTTTGTTCAGTCTTGGCCTTGTAATATACTCTGAATTGTCCTGATCTGATATGAAGAAAAAGAGAGGATGTATTAGATCCAGAACCACTTCCTATCATCCCATAGAGTAAAATCATCTCACCTCCTAGTCTATGGTATGACCGAGTAAAAGGGTCTTGGCTCCCAAACTGCAGACGTAAATGCGAGGATTGTCAAAGCAGAGACCGCATTCCTACAGTTTTAGAACATACGGAACTCAAAACAACCGTCAACCTATATCAAAGTCACAATCTTCAATTCGAACGTCAGGGCAGTTCTACTGTGTAGAGTCAAAACTTGCAGAATTACCACAACCATCATCAAAAGGGGACAATATTTATCAACAGATGTCTACTGTCTACTCAGTATCCGTTGGTCTGATACCATGAACAACAACCTACAGTGGGGGAGAAAAAACCAGCTACCAACTGAAGAGGAGATTAGGAGGTTATCGATTTGCATAATGAGGCGATCGCTTACTCGAAACCCTGAAGAAAAATGGAAAAGAGGAAGACCATATAACATAATAAGCCGGACATAGGAAGCAAACACAATTAGGATGAATAGCGGCCAGAAACAACTGGGAACGTTCGCCCGGGACGGAGTTTGATGGAGACACCAGGCGGGTGGACTACGCTTCTCCACCAAGGGTAACAGTCGCAAATAAGTAAAACTGTGTGTGCTTTCTCTTGCAGAAAGATATCATATCGTATGTAAGTAACTTATAAGGTGCGCATATCAATGACGTCCAGCTTGCAGTTCTGCATCCTTGATTTTAAGACATTTACCTTAAGTCCTGTGAAGGAGCTTTAATAGATATTTCAGTCTATTTTCAGGAGTATTAGGGATACGATAAATTATTCAAAACTCACCTCTGAGTCTTTTTAACCTGATTGGTAAACAGTCGAGGATTACTCCTTCAATATGAGAAGAAATTATATTTAAAGATATAAAATATCGCAACGATGCGAGTTAAAATTTTCTGTGGCACAGGGTAATAATATAATATATTTCAGCAAAAGCGAGTCCACGCCACTTTTATGGAGATGTTCTATAAGTTAAGATGTTGGTTTGCTTACGGTTTACTTTTCAAGTAGGGTCGTTTAATAAACCAAAGCAATAAAAACAAAAGAAAGTACACTCGTGCAGATGACTCAGGAGGTTAATGATTAGTATTGCATTGAGTGCGGTTTTTAAACTATTTTTCAAAAAACGGCAGCGCATCCACGTTACACGCCTGGTTCAAACTCGACATTATTGTGTTAGATTTATGGTCGTGCTAATTATTTATGCAATACAACTTTTTAATTTTGTAGTTGTTATAAAGCGAATTCAAATAGCACCCAGTATTAGCTGTGACCTTGAAGATACGTCTACGTCAAGTTTGTTTCGGGTATCAAAATCTTTATGTCTATTCTCCGAGAGCGTGATGCTTACGAAAAGAGAAAAAAGAACAGCATGTCAATTGAATATAAACTCTAGACAAAGCTTAACAGCTTGTAATGGAAGAAAAATGGTATGATAAATTAGCAGATAAAACCCATACTACTTGCTGCTGCTAGAGTAAAGTGTGGTTTGAGCCCTCAGATAAGATAATACAGTAATGAAGAACATTGGGTGCGATATTTAAAAGGGGTTTTGAGTTCAAATGATCTAAGCGAAGTCAAAACCTGAATAAGCGGGGCTGTTTATAACAATAAAAATTACATCAAAGTGAGTGAAGCGTTAAGAAACTATAATAACTTCGTCTTTTAACTTTCTGTTTCTTACTTTTCTTTTTGCTTTCATTTGATGCCAGCCATTAGGTCGTAATGTAAAGGTCCGCGTTAGCATGTTATAAGCCCCCTTGGTAGAATTCCAATTTCAAAATAAGATTGAAAGCACGAGTCCCAGTAGTGAGCGTAGGAGAATAACCTCAGTATTCATCGACTCGTCCTCAATCATGAATAGTCTGGAAAAAACAAAATGTTCAGTTTCAAAATCACAGGTGGATTGAAGTTATTGTCCTCACCATCAATGCTTGCTGGTCAGTAACTCCACTTTCCCTCCCTTTGTGATGTCAGAGTCATTGATGCTTGTTCTACGACAAAATATTATATCTCGCATATTGCTTTATGTTACACATCCTTTTGGAAAACAATATTTATATAAACAAAATCTTAAAAGCCTATCAGGTGGCCACAAATTCTGAGCTATAGGCGAGGTATCGGTGCTGTGCATTAAACGACCATAAATAAATTAATGTATTTGTAATTTTCCAGTGAGTAGAATAATTAGATTTTCTGACCAGTTTGTGACTCAGTGTAAGCCACTTCTTCAGAGAATAAATAAACAGCTATAGTATAAATTGAGTCTCCAAACAAAGTATAAGCACCAAAAAGAGGATGGTACAGGGAGAATGTTTATTGAAGTAGGCGGTAAAGTGTGGGGATATAATGGTCATAAATAATAAGATGGGTAATAGGACCTTTGATTCCAGGAATGCGTTAAAACGTCTCATACTCACAGTGTTTTGGACACAATACCCGACCTTTCTAAATAAATTGTAATATTCTCGTATTTATGCGCTTTTAGCAATCGCTACATGCATATATTCTATCTGTCAGCATTCTTTTATCTTCAATTACATGTAAGACCACTCCTATTGATTTCTGCACTGTTGCATACTAAGTTAATCTTTTTTGATTAGTTTTTATTTATCATGTCATTATGGTATCTATATATTCTGAGAATGAGCAACAGTTTGGTGTCTTCAAGGTTTTAATACATGTTTTATTTTCGTTTCGCTCACCAATGCTTTCTCGAAGTTGACATATTGGGCTATTTTTTTATTGCTGCCATGCGAACAAGTTAGTTTTGTTCTATTTCACCTCTTAGCAAAATTTACGGTTGTTTAACTACAGGTGGTCATATGCATCTCACTTAATATAAATATCATCTTGCAGTTAGGTTGAATTGAGTCGCTCTCCAAATTTTCAGATAGAATACTAAT